GCCTATTGAAAGAGAGAAATGTCTTCAACTTGCAGGATTGGAGGCAGATTTTGAGATCCTAAAGGTTTTGCTGTAAACTACCACTAATAGTTTAACTGACTGAGGTTTCTGTGTTTTCACAGACTTGACTGCTAATCCTTTCATGCATCTACGTCGCCGAGATGAAAGTTCTCACTCACTCTGGAAAAATAATGGTCTAAGTTTGAGGATTCCTGTCTGAGACATTTTAATCTGTTAATTCAGTGGAGAAAGGACACATTTATGTATTTTAAAACAAATTTTAATGTTTATTTAATTCCTTGTGGTTCAAATTTGCCTGTTGTAACAGTTTGGTCTCTGTTTTTGACTGAGGATCATAGTCAGCAGGACTGTCATCAGACGGCCTACAGAGACCTTTGCATTTTTTCACTAGTTACTCTGCTCTTCCATATTTAATAAGTTATCAAATATTACCTCATGCAATTTTCTAAGAATGTGCCTCGTTCACATGTACTTGTAGTATAAGAGCAATAAATAAAATGATGGTATCCAAATCAAACTTCTGCATTATTTTGCTATTAAAGACTATAAATGAAATGAATTTTTGTTGTTTCAATGTTAAAGTGTTATGTTTTATATATATATATATATATACACATATATTCCAGAAACTGTTCCTTTATCAATGAATGACTTTATTAAACAGTGTTTTCAAAACAATTCCACTCTTTACCAGAGCTTTAACATTATATAACATAACGAAACATCAAAGCCTGATGCATACAACAAGGGAAATATACAGGGCAGCAGCTTTAAGTAGTATCAAAAAATATGTTTAAAGTATAAAAGGCATGTAAATAAATACAGGGAACGTACTATTAAATAAGTCAGGAAATATTTACAATAAAGAACTATGTAAATTTGCTTGAAATAGTATAAAAATAAACAAAAGTAATAATAAAATGGTTTGTGAAATATTTACAAAGATTAAGCATAAATACTACTTTAAACATGTCTGAAATTGAACAATAAAAACTATATACATTAAAATACTAATATACTGCAAACTAATTACCCAAAGTCAGTGCTCTAGCTCATCCACAACAGAGATAAAATGTTCATAACTGTCATATACTCTGGGATCCAGACCTTTAGATGACGACATCATCTTTATTGGGCAGAATGACTTCTTTTTATATTTTTTATGGCCCTGTAAGGGGCAACTTGTCCACTTTGTGCATCTTCAATCCGATTACTGTGAGATCTTCCTTTAACTTCCGCTTGTACAGCGTGGCTCTTGACCAGTTTGGCTCTTTAGCTGTGCCAGCTGAAGAGACATCAGGGATCACCTGCTGGGCAGCGGTAGTGTGGTGCGTGGAGGGGCCTGCCATGTCAGAGGCTGTGGAGGAGGAGGCTACAGAGGAGCAGGAGGAAGATGGAGAAGGCCCAGGTAAAGGTGTGGAGCTGGTTGAGGTGACAGGTTTATCAATATGTGGAGTCTGCTGTGAAGGGGGGTTGGTGGGCATTATTAAACCGGTCCTGCCTTTTAGATTTTTAGTTCCTGCTGTGCTGGGTGTGGGCTCATATGTTATCTGTGGGTAGGCTGGTGTAGGGAGGACAGCAGGCTGATGAGGTG